CTTTTCATTTCGACTTTGACCTCCAAAGTCGAAACATTTCGACTTTTGGGTTTTCATTTCGACTTCATGTATAGCTGAGATGTTTCTTAAATCATAGTTCTCAAATCACAGGATGATTGGCTAATCGAATTGTGTGTAGCACTTAAGCCACCATTATTATTTGGTTAATTATCTAAAATATCTCTAATATATCACTCAATATTTTTTCATAAAACAATCCCTTCCTTTCATACTGATTTCTTACTATGTAAAAATGTCTTCTGACGAATGGAATAATGTTCAGATTTGCTTCCTTATAAATGAAAGAAAAGAAAGAAACTCTGAATTCCATTTCATTTCAAATAAAAAGAAACGTCTCTTTTGGGAAAATGTCGTTAGAAGGCTAAACGAGCAAGAAAATACAAATTATTTCACTAATAAGAACTGTCAAAAGAAGTTCAAAAATCTCAAGAAGGCTTATAAAATAAGTAATTCTTGCTTAGCTCTATAAAGAATCCAGCTGATAATATTCTTATTATCATTATTTTATTAAACAGCTATAAAATATAGAAAGGGTGGAAAAAAAGAAGTTTAATAGAAAAGGTGATCTATGAAGAATTCTCTAGCGAATTTTGGTTGAGACCTGATAACTACACTTTTAAGAATTTAATGCTTTTTAAATTCAAAAGAATAATTATACCAATCTAATATTTCCTGCTGATTGGATTTTATTGCTATTTCAAATAAATAAGATAAGTGCTAGGCAAAATCTGAAATCACATTCTTTAAACTAACGCAAGAGCTGATAATTTCTGTCAAGCTGATATCATCTAAAAAATAGTTACAAAGTGACACTTACATTTTTTCAGATAATATGAATGAACATAATTCATGTATTAGGCCTTGTTGATTTGATTTCATCAAGCGATTTCTCTGAAATCATGTCATTATCTTACTTTACAAATACTTCAGTTTTCAAAGTCACATTACTTTGATTGTTTCCTATGAGAATGGTTTTTCAAATTCTTCTAAATTTTTCAAAATCATCTGATTAAGATTAGTAGCAGATGAGTCCTGATTAGCTGATTCATGCAGTAATTTCTTCTTCCTATTGCATTGCTTAATCTTATCGCTAACCTTATTCTTATGCAGAAAGCATCTGTTTTCTTATTCTTCCAATAGCTCAATACAATCAACCTTTTCTACAGTCACCCCTTATACAATCACATTATATAAATCCTCCGTTATAAGCACACCTTTCATAAAAACCATTCCTATTAACACTATATAAAAAAACCCTTTTATAATCACAATGTTATTATAGTCACATCATTTTGGAACCAATACTTAGTAATACTATAAAAAAATCCTTCTATATAGTCACTTTTCACTATAGTCACACTTTTTATTTTTGGTTCTGAGGGGTGTAACAGTAGAAGGGATCGACTGTATTAGCATTATCACTAGGTATGGTATCTTCTTAACCTACTTCACTATTAAGCTGATCTGTTTGCTTTGGCAAATCAAGTACATCAACAGTTGATACCTCTGGTATCACTTCCTTAAGAGCTTCACTAACTTGTGTCTGCTGTTCCAACTTCATAAATCTAACCCTGAACTCAGCATTCTCAGACTCAAGTTTGGTGATAACTGACTTATATTTTTCTCTAGCTCCACTATTTTGGCATTAAGTTTACCAATCTTAACTGAATAATGCAATATAGTTTTCTCCAGTTCATCGGTTCTGGTCTTAAGCTCTTGTCTCAGCTTCATTTTCTCAACTTCATCCTCAGCAACCTTCTTTCTAAGTTTGGGAATCTCAACATTCTCACCCTTGATCTCAGCAAACTTCTTTCTACACTCAGCAATCTCAGCTAAGAGCTTGGCATTTAATTCTTTCAATAAATCAGTGGATTGCATATTTGATAATATTTTTTATGCAAGAAGGAATAATTCAAAAGTTCATTAGCATAAATAAAAAAAATGTCGCGACCAGAATTAATATGCGGCAGTGATGTACATTTTCGATGTCCCAAACATTTTGAGACTGTCCCACACTATGTCCCAAAATGTCCCACATTAAGTCCCAATGTCCCAGGCCATGTCCCAAAAATTTCCCATGACAACACTGCTTATTGGTGTATGATTCGGTGATACACAGATTTGTTTTACAAAGTAAAATCGTGTTCTATACTAATGCTACGGACCACACCAGCTTTTCGTTATCTATATAAACACAATTATCCTAGCACTAGCTCTGATCCGATTTCATTTGTCCTAACATAGATATTCTGGAAAAAATAAAATGGACGTCAGTTATACTAATATGAGATATGCTGTGTTGGAAAATAAATCAACAGCATTAACCTTAACAAAGCTCCACCGGAAGTTTACATTGTTTTTCTTCGAAATCCTGACCTATTAGCTTATAAGCCCAGAAGGTATTTATATTTCATTGCTACAACAAAGAAAAATATTCATACCTTTTAAAATCGCGTAATATCTCGTCGTTTCCAACACGGTTTTGTCATAGATAGACAGGTCCTAATTTTAATACTACGAAGTTAGCTGTGTGGGTCGCATAGCCTGTTGTACGATAATCATCTCGATAATTTTTCCGAATATATAAAACTGCTTGTTGATAAGATATATGACTGCAATTTAAAGTAAAGGCAATAATTTCTACTATGTACAGTATATATAGATATGAATGACAAGTGAACAGCGTATAGCAAGAATTAAGCTCACATTGGGAGAAATCTTTATTAATGACCATTAATTTATTTACATGAACTATAAAGCGTGATAAAGCAATTATATATTAACTCTCATCTTCCTCCAAAACCCGTATCTCAGGATGATTAGTTTTCATCCAATTCTTTGCTTTTTCCAATTGCTCCAAATTATTAAAATATAAACACAAAGTGTTCCTATCTAATCGTTTGTACCAACAGAATAAGTCTAAAGCTTTATAAAAGCCCATTATCTCTTCAGTCCTCCAACTCCGAATAATAATCATAAGTCCATACTTTTTCCTAGTAATGTCGCTTCCGTAACAATATGTGAAAGATTTATATAAATTATCCAAAGGTCTGTAATGTGTGTTTGAAATAAGGTCTTCAGATATACCTATGAAATGCAAATATTTTTAAGTACAGTACTTTAATGACTCATTGCTACAAAAACAATAATATTTCATACCAGATGTCCAGAACCATGTCTCGATCTCCCATTTATCCTTCAAGATTTGTTTTATTGTAGGATCAAAGTCACCATCACCACTAATAAGCACCATTATGCCGGGATCATAATATCTAATGGTATTCATCATGGCAACCGAAATTTGATTATCAACTTTCTTCTCAATATTATCAAAGTTCCGATCATACACAGTTACATCATATCCCACCTTCCGAATACTATTCCATAGTGAATCATTGGGAGGTGGTCGTGAGCCAACAATAACGGGAGATGCACCTAGCTTACGTCCATTCTGTACTGTTGTAAGAAGGCGTCCATAGTCGATATGAAGATTTTGAAGGTAGGATGAATTTCTTCTGTGGTCAAAATAACCCTCAAGCTCTCCAACAGTATATCTTGCCTCAATGAAAGTATTGGAATTGTCAACGAAAACATGTACGAGCCCAGTAGGTCTCCTAGTACGTTCTACAAAGAAGTGATGACAGTATATAGCAAACTAGAGAAAATATTTACACTTCAGATTCTAAAACACTTACCAGTAAACATAGGATTTATTTCTTCAATGAGTTTCGCGATTTTTCGAGCTGGCCCGTATTTTAATCCGCAACTTCGAAGATCTTTTTGGGTTGATTCAAGGAAGACATCACCAGTAAATTTCTCCTTCTCGAATATATCAAGTTCCGCCTGTTCAAGATTTAATTCTTTTATCCCTCTCAAAAACTCAATAAGTTCCTTTGTGTTATATTTTTGGACTACAAGATTTTCTTCCTTTGTTGTAGAAGTAAAAGCAGATACAGACTTTTTAAATATATCACGAAAAACAGTAAAACCTAAAACTCTTGATGGTATTCTGACGTGGCTAAACATTTCAAATGTGGCAGCGAGATGTATTTTTTTTTTAATTTTTTTTGCAAATTTTTCACAAAGAAATGGGCATGTATTATGAGGTAATTGGTTGTACACCACCCGCATTTCATGCATAAAAATCACGAGCCCTTAACGCGGTCAAACTTTATTCGAAAAATAAATATATACTAAATCGAGCCGGCATGTAACATACATACATTAGATAAAAATCAGCCAAAGACCACTAACCCGATGTGGGTAAAAAATAAATGCTTTATTAGATTGCATTAGTTGACCGATATTTTAATTATTTTGCCAAGAAAAAAATCGATCCTGCTAAGAGGTTTGTGAATAGTAGAGCTAAACTAAAAAAAAAACATTTCGATATGTGGCACAATAGTCACGTGGCGTGAACCATGGTTCACGCGATCTACAATGATCTGCAAAGAATTTATGATTCCCAAGTAAAATGAGCTATAATACTTTTGATTTGAGTACCTATAAGCTTTGAAATATTATCCGCACTATAGGATTGAACCTTCTTGACTTTTTTAATCCCTATTTTACTGAACAATTCAAAAATATTTCTTGCCTTCTGTGTCTTCTTATGTAAATTCTCTCTTATAATGTTTGAAAATTGCATTATATACCTGGATCCTAGCCTGTTGATCTTTAACCCTCTTATCATTATCTTTAATATTCTTAACATTTTTTCAAACCATTCAGCATAGTAGTATCAACAGTGAATTTCTTCTTGATAAGCTTAAGTTATTCGTTTTTCAGCTTTAATTGCTTTTTGGAATAATTGAGCTAAATTCTGCGAGATTAAATCCTCAGAACTCTCATCTTCATCATTATTGGTTTTAGTGGTCTCCTCCTTAATAGGTATAGATAATTCATGCAATAACTCTTGAAATCTTTTCTGTTCGTGATTGGATCTTAGGGATGTTTCTCTTGATGATCGGATTTGTGTATTAGTAATGTCATCTTCAGTTGTTTGATTAGTCAAATTATCCATCCTTCAATCATAGATTTCAGGAAATAAACAGAATGAAAGATAAGTGCAATTTCTATATATTCTATTTTCACTGCATTACCTACCTTTTTTGAGAACTATGATTGTTATTCTCATTATCATCATTTTCATCATTGATGATGTCTGATAGTTCTGGTACAGTATCTCTTCCTCATACATAATTGGACTTGTCATTTGATCATGTATAGTAACTTCAGTTTTCTTTTTTCCTTGACCTGCAAGAGAAGCTTTGTCTATTAATTCTAGTTCATGCAAAAGTGCTAATTCACCTCTATAATATTATCACTTAAGAGACTTTTTAGACACTATGTGATACTCACCAGAAGCTAGTGCAAGTTCCTTTCTAAGAAGTTCAATAGGTGGTATATAAGTAGAAATAGGACATAAAGAAATATGTAATTCTGCTCATACAATATATTTTTCAAGACATATTCAGTGGTATATATGTTCACATAATAATATTGTGAATAATTGAAGTGGTAAGAAAAGAATTCCTTTATCACAGAAGTAATAAGGATTAAGTTTTGGGATATATTAAAGATTTCTCACCCTTTTCTTCCTACATAAATATTTTTTCACATATCAAGACTAAAACGAAATTAGCCTTACCATGAGAAAATTTATTTCAGAAATGAGCATCTCAGAAATGAACATCTCGGAAATGAGCATCACAGAATAAAGATCACAAATAAATCAGGATCAATGATGAAAAGATATATATAATACCAATTAGTTTGTATTGTTCGATTTTTGCTATAGCAGATAAAAAGACTATCTCACCTTATCTTTATGTTATGACCCTTTTCAAACATATGTCACAAAAAAAGACTACTATACTCCCAGTTAAGGCTACGATCGTCACAAAATATGAAAGCTCTGAGACAAATATAGTAATACCTCCTTCGATCAAAGATCTGCATTTAAAATTGGGACAGACACATATTTTATTTAATCAGGCCCTGCCAAAATAATAGCCAAGATTTTTTAGACGAACTATTTTTATTATGTAAATTCTTCTGAGCTGGTGATCACTGTTCCAGATTAGTTAGATCAGTAGTGTATCATCTCACCATAGAGGGTCTTGTTAATTCTAATTAAGAAAAGTAAAAATAAAATTATTATTAGAAAACTCAGATTGGGTTGAAATCTGAACATTGCTAGCCTGTCTAAGATAATCACTAAATGCAATAATAAAATCAGACATATTTTCCTTTTCAGCTTAAATAAGCATTTCTACTACTTTATTAAGATCATAAACATGATAAAATCCAGATTTTGTGATATGCTTTTTATTCTCTGTTATCAGTCCATCAAAGAATACACATTGGAGATGACTTTTATAAAGATTGATAATATTATTACATCTCTTTATCTGTGAATAATAATCTGCTATTGAGTCTTTGTCTTGAAGTAATAACCCACATTGGAATATCTACCTCATTTGCGTTATCATCTATTTTAATCTAATCTGTATCTATACCATCCAACCATATTTCCCATCGAAGTTCCTCAGCATCACATGGTAATTCTATCAGGCTTAAAATTTGTGAAAGGTAAAAAACATCGAATTGTATAAATGTATGAAGTATTGATGTTGGATTTCTTACACTAGGCAGACTATATACAAATTGTTTAAGTGTTTTCTCCTTCCAATATCTGACTATCTTTGTCTTCCAATAGATTTTGATTTCGCAAAAAGATCTTTCCAGTCTTTCCACTCTGGTATAAATTCGGGAATCCCTTCATTATCCCATTCATATCTCGATCCATATTCTTTAATAAATTTATTATAATGCTCTTTTGTCTCAGCATCTATTTTATCATCTGAAATTTTACTAATAAATCTGCTATACTTTAATCAAAAAATAAAAGTACGCGATCACTTTCCTTCGCTCAAAGATCTTCAGGAGAAAAGCTACAAGCGAGAAATTTATTTCTGAATTTCAGCTAACTTTGCATTAATTTCAGCTAACATGGAATCCATTTCTATTGTCTAAGACTTTTGAGGATCAAGTTGGAACGCTGGCAAAGAAGCCTGTATTTGGGATTTTAAACTATTTGCCTCAGAAACAGATTCAGATTTATGGTCAGATTCAGGACTATTGTCTTCTGACTCAGTATTACCTAAAGCATAATTCTTTCCTACATCATGATGCACAATTTTATACCTCAATACTCTTCTACTGAGAAGATCAAGTTGCTGGTGAGTTGGATTTGAACCGCCATGAACTCTAGAAGTATGCTTACCTTCTATTTTTCTTAATATTTTAAGCTCAATTTTATGAGGCTTCAGGAATTCATTAAATGCCCTAGTATTACGCTTTCCATTTTCACTAAAAGTGGAATCACTCAACTTTTTAGCCTTTTTAGCTTCTTGAATCCAGATGAGTAGTATTCTTACACATTCTGGATCCTTTTCCATAGAAACGAATGGACAAGGCTCTGGATTATCCTTATATTTTCCTTTATTCTTAACATATCCAGTACAATACTAGGAAAAACTATTTACATATCATGCTGAAGGATTTGAGGGATCAACTTCATAATGACTGATCTTAAGAGATCTCACTCAATATCACTATTATATCTGCAAAATTCTCTTAAGTAGGAATTTTAGAAACATCCATATTCTGAATCCTTTTACGCATATTTACTAAGGAGAAATGTATTGGAGTTCTTGATTGATTATCAGCTAAATTTTGCTCAGTCTGTTCTTTCTGAATTTTGTTAGAAGCTGTAGTGACATCTGGATCTTTGGCATAAGTATCAATAAGTTTTTGAGCAAAACCAGCTTTTGCCAATTCGATACGAAATAGTGAGAGCTGTGAACAGGAGGCAATGGTTTCTTTATCGTTATTACTTTTTGGACCTAAATTAAGAGCATTAATATAAATATCCCACTTATCGTCAGTTTTGATGCAATATAAAGCTCTTTTTCCAATGGTGAGCTTTTCCTTTCTTTTGTCTGACACAAGAACCCTATCTGCTCTTTGCTAAATGTGTGTCTTTTATCAGTGCATCTGGCAAGAAGATCTTTAACATACTTGCGAGCCTTCCAATTATGCAATTGAACCTTAAGTTCTAGAGCATTTTCTTTTAATTGTTCTAAAGTAGAGTCAGCTGACAAATTATACTTTTCTAAGAACTATTCTAAAATCAAAACAAAGTTATTAGTTTTAGGCTTTCGAGCCTTTGAAGTGGTTGCTTTAGTTGATATGCCAATGATAAGTAGATTGCGATTATTATCTAGTTATACTAATCTACTTATTTTTCAATTCAAAAAAATTCCTTAATCCCGAATGCTAAAGCAAAACAATTTTGAATATTTATAATAAAAGTGAAGATAAAGTTTTAAGATTATTAATATCAAAATTATCTCGTATGGATTGTCTATCCTGTCAATACATCAAGAAAGATGGAATGATTTGTAGGAAAGGATGCTGGCGTACTTCAGGATATGCCAGACATTATAAAACCCATCCTAAAAAAGTATGCCCTATCTATAATGAGCTAACCTATTCTCGCACTGGAATCTGTAGCACACATAGTAGAATTTATGATCATGTTTGCCATGAAAGTAAAAAACTAAAACAGAATCGACCCCTTTGGGATTATCTGATATAGTCAAGATACTGGGCTGAATAACAATCTGAACTGGAGAACTATTTTTCCTTATCCTATAGAATTAAAAAGTTCTTAGATCTCATTATCTGCATTTGACTTATATGGTAAAAGTTCTGGTACACCTTTATCTCCAAAATAAAGGCCATTATATGGCCGGTGATTAATTTGATATGAATGTTCCCAAACTTGTTTTTCTTTAGGCCTTATTTTTTTCCTATTTATTTTTACAGTATAGCCACACTAATTTCCACCAATTGCATTAATTGTCCTTATAGCTGAATTAAGATCTGACGTTACCTTAGCATGAGACTTGAAGCCAAAAAGTAATAGGGATTGATCCAAAACCTCTATAAACCTTTTATAAAATCATGTGAATGCTTCTGATACCATACTACCAGAAAGGATACGCTCATCATCTATGCCTGTAAAATCAAGTATTTGAAAAAGTTCATATATAACTTCCCAATGCTTTGCTGAATAAGATTTACATACGTCTTCTGCTACTGATTTCTCAATTTTCTCTTCAGCTCTATAGCAGGCAATTTCCCATTGTATATTTTCTTCAGCTTTCAATTCCTTCATTGCACTCTCCTCATCATAACCTTGCCTTCGAAAATAAGATAACTGTAAGAAATGCTTCTGAGCTTCCAGCAAACTAAAATTTTTAATGAATTTTCTATTGTAAATATTATTCCAATCCTCAATACTCATGTCTTTACAATAAAGATTTTTCATATAAAAACGTTTAAGTGCCATAATATCTGCGATAGAATACTCTTGGTCAAATTTAAGGACTTCAGCTTCTTCAGGACTAAGATTCTGGGAAGTAGCAACTGCGTTAAAATCTGTATTTTTGATAACTAATGCTTTAACCCTAACCTCATTGCGAACCCTTTTGCGATTCCCTATAACTCCTCAACTCTCATCTATTTTTATAAGTTGCCTGTACTGGCTATGAGACTACAAAGCTTTTCAATAAAATATATTGCAGAAAGACATTTCTGATGCTCGACTTCAATAAAAGTTATTACGGCTGGAGACGAATCAACTTTATAAAAAATGATATTATTATTCCATTCACAATGTCCCTTTATTGCTGTAAGCAAATTATTAGGTCAAGCACTTTCAAGCTTTACTTGAATATTTTCATAACCTGGCGGGTGAAAAAGTTCATTAGAATTCTTTTGATAGAATAAAGAAACAATATGACAGAGGAATCACAAATTCGGTAAAGCATTTGTGCAAGAGCTTTAATATGAAATGGAGTAACAATATTTGTAATGAGTATGACTATATTAAAGTAGCTTGTAATTTCAAAAGATATACCTGCTTCCATTATATTTGTATAAGCCACATAGTCAAGTTTGCCCATATTGGAAAAGTCTTTTTGTTTTTGTTTTCCATCTATATCCCATAATATGCACAGGCTCTAACAGGTAAATTATCAGGTTTAGATAACTTAGATACTTTTTCTACTAACACTCTAGCCATCACTACTCCAGTAGATATAAATGTCATACGTTTTCCTTGCGTCAAAAGGTCAAATCCTATTCTTATAGCTTCAGCTTCACTATTCGAATCATAAAGAATTTCAACTATCTCATCCACATGAGGCTGGTATCTATTATCAATTATATGAATGTCTTCACCACGATATGCTTTAAGAAATGCTAATGTTGACTTATTTGTAAAGGCATTCATGGCCAAAACATATCTTGTAGATATTAAAATATCACGCATTGCATTTTCAAACTCTTATGCATTTGTATCGCTAGACATTTGATGCATGATAGCATTGGATTCATTGAGAATAGTCACAAATAGACGAGCTGTGAATTTAATATGAAAAAGACTTTCAACTTGTATTATAATAATATCCCACTCATTTATAGATAAGTCTCTTAGCCTATTTTGGTAGTTGCAAATTCAGAAGCCAAACACTTTTAACTCATCAAGTTTTGCTTTTGACTCGTTACTAAGAGATTTTTGGTAAGAGATCCAGATATAACATGGCATTGAAGAGATATTATGTACCTTACTCTTTAATGCCATAATAATTTCTCTTAATGTAGTGGTTTTCCATGTTGCTGAGGATAAGCGAATTAATGTAATTGTTCTTTTAGTACTTAAGAAATCAAGATATGATTCAGGAGTATCTCTCAGCTTTGTAACATTAATAACTTTCCCTGACAACTCTATAAGAGGATGCAGTTTGCTACGGCATTCTTTCAGCTATTCCTTGCTTAGGTATTGTAAGAATTTTAGTCACTTCTTCAAATATCAAACCTTTATGATTTGGCTTATATTGTTTTTGCCAATAGCATTTGAGTATAAAGCATCCATCTTTTCGAAGAAAGCTATACAACTGATTCCTTTCATGTTTGATATTGCAAATAGGACATTCTATAAATGATTTGACATAAAAGGTAATAAACACTTTTTCAGCTTTTCCGATTTCAAGCCATTCATATTTTGCAATAATTAAGCTAGCTTCCTTGCTTAAAGCAGTTTTATCTTCGATAGGTTTGAACTCCTCTTTTTATTACTTCTCAGAAGAAAAGCTTGTGGCCAAATTTCTAAATAATTTGGTTTAAGTTGAACTAAATAATCCTCTAGTTTATGCATTCTGTTCTTGACCGAAGAAATTGCAGGTCTTTTGATTCTATCTCCTTTTGCTGATCCAAGAAGTCGAAGACTAAAATGTGATTTGTAAAGCGTGAGATCAATAAATTCAGAATATAGTTTTCTAACTCTATCAGCGACTTTTTTCACAAAACCCTAAAGTTTTTATAATCAATAAAATAAGCTGAAGGAAATACAATATACTAACTGCATTTATCATTATTAGACAAACTAGCTAAAGCGAAAGCATTTAAAGTTATGAGATGTTTTAAATTAGAGTATAAAATATCAGCGCAAGCAATTAAGATTCTAGATAATAAATCATCACGAGAAATTTTATATCCATCTAAAAAAAAGAGTTCAGGATTCATGGGATCGGGTTTCTGCTTCGCATCAATATCCAGAACAAGACGAAGAGGCAAGTTACCATCAATACATTCATAAGAATCAGGTAATCCATAAATTTCAGATGGATGATCAACAACTGTAAAACCCTTTCCAGATACTCGAATGATATATTTATCAAAAATCTCTTCAGGATGATAAGCGCCTAACAGAGCAATACTATCTTTACTATTAATTTCCAATAAATGTTGAAAATATGTATGATCATTATAGTTTAGCTCAAAATCAAGGTCTGTTACACCTGAAAAGAGCCTTATTGCTTCATTTATTTCTTCAAGATTAGGTTCGAAATTTTTTTGTGTAAGTAGCATGGTAGTATATGCAAGAAAGCAGTATAAAATTACATAGAAAACTGTAATCTTCAAAATAAATAATGTTAATGTATATCTTAGAAATAAAATAAAAATGCATAAGCTATTTTGACTTCTGATCTAATTACTAATGCGAGTATGTAATATATATATACTAAATAATACTTTAAAGCAATTGATATAATAATATCCTGAAGTATTAACTATGTGAGAAAGGGTTCTAGAAAAGAAGGAGTGCAGAGCAAGGTATAAATTTGGTAGACTACTCAAGCAGAATTATATATAGGAAAGAAAGAGAAATTATGCTTGAGTGGTCTACTGATGATAAGCAGGAAAGAGGTCAGGAAGGCAAAAAGACTCAGAAGAATACATGAAAAAAAGGTATGAAAGCTGTGAAGCCTGAACCAATTCGGCACTTTATGCCTCATCCTCAGTAATCAAATAAGTTATAAAAAACAGGATTGCAAGAATAGCACAATACTAACACTTCGCATGTGCCTTACTGGCAATCAAAAAGTAGGTGAATAAATTGCAACACATCTTTAACAAATAGATGGATTGCAAATTCAGCACTTCATGCCTTATCCAGTTATCATGAAATAGCAATTGAGAGGGAAGCAACTATATGAGGGTGTTCCGGCATCAAAATAGTATCACGTGAATATAACGCAGTAAGACGTAGTATTAATTCGCTTATTTTCGACCAACATCATTCCATAAATTTGGCCAGAAGCCTGGATATAATAATTCAACACCCAAGCTAGCATAGAACTGGCGAACTAATAGAACCTCTCTAGCTCCCTTTCAGTTCTATGACAGTTTCAGAAGAGTTCTATGATACTAGCAGGACGCTATCATGATATCAAATTGGATCCTTAAATCACATGCCCAAAAGATCAACCAAAGTTATACCATAGAGCTGACAAAAATTAATTGCAAATCCACTGCGCCATCTGACACATTTTTTTTATTACAATTTGACATTTTAACAGGCAATCAAGCAGGCGCAAAAGGTAAGCATATTAATATAAAATCGAGAACCTATTCAGGCATAGAAGACTAGCATTCTCGATATAAAACCAGGTATTCAAACACTTACGGAAGGCCAATGACCTTAAAATAGAATTTGACATATATTCAGGCATAGGAGATCAATACCAATCGGATAGCTAAAAGGTAATAAAAAGGCCACAAAGCACTGATAATTATAAAAAGGTAACAATTTACTCATAAATAGGTATGTAACAATTTAATGCAAGTAGGTTGTAATATATATATATTGCAACCTACTTTATAAGTTATGTGATTCATAATTTTGGTTAAATTATGACTTAACCAAAATTATAATGATTATAAAAGAGGTCTAATTATTAATAAAAATAATATATAGGTTTAGGAAAAATAAGTAATAATGATTATAGTCAATTTGTGATTATATAAAGATAATTTAATATTAAATAAAACTGTTTTTCAAAATCAGATGCATATAAAGAATTATAACTATATAGTGTGTGACTATATGAAGGTCTGACTATATTTCTAAGTCTTTCTATAAGATTCTTTGTAAATTTCATTATTTATCTGACTTTTTGATCCTTTATTCGGTTTTTTAATTATTTTTTTTTTCAGTATTTAGTTTATTTAAATTATTTCTTTTTAAATTTTATTTTTTTTGTGTAATTCTATCTTTCGTGCTATAATTTATCTAAGTATTCTTCTTTTTTTTAATAAAATAATATTTTTTTATTTATTATGTGATTTTATTTTTGTGATTTTGTCATATTTTGTTGATTTTTATTATATGTATTACTGCATCTTAAATTATGAAATTATTAATTCTATAGTATAACTAATATAATTTGGGTTAGAATTAAAAATAAAATTTTAATCAAAAATTCAAAATTAATAACTCAGTTAATATTGCTCCAATTTTAATGAAATAATTTTCATTGAAATCCTCATAATTAATCGATTCTAATGAGTTAAAAAACATAAATATCTGATTATATTTCATTTTTTTAGATATGGTAATATAATTTTATTAATTTTATAATATAAAAAAATCAAATAATACAAAATAGAAAAACCAAACTATTATTTATATGATTTAACATAAAAAATTATTGGTTAAAAACATTTATAAACCTATAAAAGACTAGATCCTTTTAACTAACTAGTTGTCTTATCAAGTTCAAGAATGAATATATAAACAAAGTCTTATCATAATTATTCATTAAATGAGAAAAAAAGTTTGAAAAATAAAAATAATTTAGAATATATAAAATAATTAGTTATTACCAATCCAAAAAGTGTCTGATCTTGACCAAATCAATCCAATTTGTAAAAATAGGTTGTAAGAAGAAAGAAAAAGAATTAATGTCAATTAAATGAGAAAGAAGAGGTTTTATCTTATTTTCATTTTAATTTATATAAGATGTATTATGTTTTTTCTTTTTTAATTATTAGTTCACATTTAAAAATCCAAATTTCATTATAAGTTTAATTGTAAAGATACATATATGCTATATATATGCTATAAAAAGAATAAAAAAAAAGTTAAAAGGCTCAGATTTCTTTAGTAATATTAATGACATCAGTAACATTCATCAAAAAAAAATTATTTCAATCTAGAATTTTTAAAGGTCATATCAAATATGTCACTAGTTTTGTTACTAGTTTTTTTTCTAGTGATAAAATTAGTGATAAGTTGTATTATTTGCATTACTTTTATTTGCATTTATTTTATCTACCAGTATCTATGTTGAAGCTAACTCAGCCAAATGGATTTTAATTAATTGGGTTTCAATCAAAAGTCTGAATATAGTTTTCAATCATTTTAAAAATCAAAAATTGCTTTCAAACAATTATTGATAAACTTTTTAATTTGTTAAAAAATGGATCAAATAATGAGAAATAATATATTATCAGATGAATTTTGGTAAATGATAGAATTGATTGTAAAAAATCTTAGAACCAATAGTTATAGCATTGATCTTTTGAATCAGATACATCTATTTTTTCAACAGCTTATTCATATTATAAAAATTAATAGAACAATTTGGTGAATTTTCATGAATTTTTCTAAAAATATTCAGCAATTGTTCTAAAAAGATGGGAATATGCACATCATCCTATTATGATAGTTGCTTGTTGATCCATGTTTTTTAGAAGAAAGTCAAAATACAAATTTATAAATAACTGTGTATTCTGTATTTACAACAATTACAAATAGTTAATCAGGAAAAATCTGTAAAATTGTTTATTGAATTTGTAAAATTCGCCAAAAAGCTAAATCATTAACAAAAAGTGAACTTCAACAATTAGCTATCAAAAAAAATTTTTTTTAATTCCTACATCATCAACAGCTGCAGAGAGAAAATTCTCAACTTTTTGGATTTATTC